GTTTGATATAAGCTACTCTATTATGATGGGAGTCGTGAATACTGATGTTTCATTAAGTACATCACAAGAAAATGAAGAAACTGGTATCTTTTGAGAGTGAGAACATAAATTTTCAGCAGAAAATTTGGACAAGAATATAAAAGGATTTTTATTTTCAAATGAGAGGGTCACAGTCAGCAGTGCTTCAAGGATAATAAAGTATCATTTCATAGTAAGATATGTGACAGGAAGTTGATGTTTGGTAATTTCTTTTTAAAAACTGAGCAGTCATTAACTGTTTAGAGAATCCAAAGTGGATAAAAAATTTAAAATGAGAATTAAAGAGGAAATATTTAATAAAAGAGCAATTATTTTCTAGATTTAGTAATAAAGAAACCAAGACTATGAATTTTATTTATTTATTTATTTTTAAGATTTTATTATTTATGTATTAAAGAGAGTGAACATGAGTAGTGGGGAGAAACAGAGGAAGAGGGAGAAGCAGACTCCCGGCTGAGCAGGGAACCCAGCATGGGGCTCAATCCTCGGACCCTGGGTTCATGACCTGAGCCAAAGGCAGACATTTAACCAACTAAGCCACTCAGGTGCTCTAAGACTATGAATTTTAAGTAGTTGCTATTAGAATAGAACTTGGTTATTTGTGTAAATGTTAGTGATTATTAAATGGTTGGGATTTGAGTATTCACATGTGATGGTTAAAAGACAGTGTTTATCTGTTAAGGGTGCCAGAGAGGATTGTGTTCACAAAATCTGGATGGTACAGAAATGCTAGCTAAGTAGGCATGTAAAAATGTGGGAGGAAGAAAATGACTAAAGTTATAGGAGTAGATGTTATGTTTTCAGAACATGGAGAAATAGAGAAAGAAGGCAGAAATAGATGTGTAAAGAATATAGCTCCTTCTCCTCTAAGACTTAAAAATGGGGATTTGGAAAGCAACTAACCGTTTGCTTTCTTCACCAAAATACCCCTAAGAAGGGAGCCAGGGTTGCAGACCACCCTGTATCTGTGTTTTTCCTTACGCCCTTTTGTGAACTCTCAAGGTTAGTCAGTGATTTTCTTCACACTTTCATTAGGAAATTTGCCAAAGGCATCCTTTTGAGGCAGCTGTCTCTGTACCCTTGGAGGCCATCAGTAATGTTTCTGATCTATAGGAGTCGTCGGCACAAAAATGTTGGACTGAACTGAGTCTTCGTGGTTTAAAACGTTCCCTTGCCAAAATTACTTTATTTCCCCCTCGAACAGTATTACAAAGTATATTACATTTTGGGGCTTCTGGTCCTTTTATAGTTTTTTGTTATTGCATCTTTCCAGGTAAAATCCAATATTAATAGTAAATATATCTAAATATATTAATAATGAAAGGAGACTTAAGTTTTGAAACGTAATTTAACTACAGTGGACACATTAAAAATCCTTATATATAGATAAATATGAATTTTTGTATAGGATATTAAAGAATTTATTTTTACTATTGAGAATTTTTAAAGTAAAATATAGTTTAATTGGTGGTGGTCTTTTGGTTTGAGGCAGTCAGATGATATCTTCATACTAAGATAAGTTTTGGGGGCATATTAAATTTGACATAAATAATTAGTTCATGATTAAAATGCATTAGAATAAGTTGAAATGCATTTGTGTTTTTGTTTCTATTCAGTTTAATAATATATGCAACTGTTATATGCATCTTTAATATGTTAGTCTGTTTCTCTTGTTTTACTAAACTGTCTTCTTTCAGCCACCCACACAGAATATGCCTATGGGTCCTGGAGGGATGAATCAGAGTGGCCCTCCCCCACCTCCACGCTCTCACAACATGCCTTCAGATGGAATGGTAGGTGGGGGTCCTCCTGCACCACACATGCAGAACCAGATGAACGGCCAGATGCCTGGTAAGTTTTTCTCCTCTAAGACATTAACACCAGAGTTGCTTAGCAACTGAAACGACATGGGGGCTCAAGGGATACTAGATTGTTGATGACAAAACTGCTTTGAATGCCCTGGAGTACAAGCTCTCTTAGAGTTTGTTAGCTACAGAGCTACGTGACCTGTATTCAGTGTTTATCAGGCTGCCCTTGGGCTTTGATGTAGCTGACACACAGCATTCCTCTGATGAACAGAACTGGCTAAATTTAGTCTGTCTGAAACTATGCAATACAGCTGGCTTTAGAAGCTTTTTGGAAAAAAAGGCATTGTGCCATGACTTAAGAATTAAAATTTATAGATTATAAAGATACTATAACATTTCCTTGGGTTTTGTATTTACTTAAAAATTTACTGGTCCCAGAAACAGTATTGCTGGAAAAAACACATGGGGAAAAGAAAAAAAATCTGTAAAATGCTAATATATTTAGTATTTCCTCATTGATACTGTTGAAGCTGAGTATAGATTTTTATGAATACATATGCTTATAGCATTATATATATGCAAATTGATATTAAAGCAGATTTAAAAGAAGAAAAATAATGTCAGATGTTTTATATAATGAGATATTCTCTTTACTACTTATCCATTTTAAGTTTGGAGTCACTTAGAATCTCTTCTAGGTCATTGGATGCTTAGTTAGTTACCTTTTGCTGGTTTGAATTTTTAATCTGAAAAGTATCTTTAAACTATTTTGTTTTTGTAACAATAGCTACAACCCATACCCCTAATTTTTGGTTGGTTGTTTTCTGCATTTAATATGAGAATATTTGTACTTTCTAAAAACAAAGGTTATTTTCATTAACTAAAAGAAGTATTATACAAATAGGAATAATGAAAATAAATTAGAATAACAATGCAGTTCATTTTTAAAAATTAGTAATTAGCATCCGTAGGATAGTGTTGTCTTAGCTGATTGTGTTGGATGGTAACATTGGTGTCCAGAGACAATGGGTGTAGGAAATGAGGTAAAGGAGAGCACGGAGCAAAAGAAGCCAGGTAGTCTCGTTCATAGAAGATTGATGTGTGATTCATGTAGGAGGTTGGCAGCTGTTTGGTGGCTATCTTGTTTCCTTCTGAGGCTTGCCATAATCCGTGGCCACCCTCCCCCCAACCCACACCCTGTGTGGGGCTGGGAATAAAGATGTAACTACTTGTTAGGTTGTAGTCAGGAGGATGCTTCTTACTGAATTCACATTTAACTCATCAGGAGCTGTTGTTTTTTGAACCAGAAGGGTAGTGCTAGTACATGTTAGCAAGTTAAGAGTTTTGTGACTTTTTATGGTGGTACTGTTAATTAGAATTTTGACTTAACTTTTCTGTGTAACATTAAAGCTTAAGGCCAAAGAAGCACTTGAATGACAATGTAATTATTGTTAACATGACATTTGGGTTTTTGTATTTGGCCATCTGGAGTAGTTATATTCTTTATAAACTAGAGATTTTCAACTAGTGATGACCTGCATTGTCTAGAACACTGTAGAGCTTCCAAAACAATTCTCTAATAAAGAGTTCTGGTTAGGTGTAGGAGAAATTGAAGTCCAGTTACTTTGTTTCCTTTATTTAATACATTCCTTCATAGAGCTTTGCCAACTTTTGTATGCATATGAATTTGTATCTAGGCTTTTATTAACCTATTTAAATTTTGTTTTAATATTTTCTAATCTAAATTATAGAGGTACTTATATGCTCCTTGATCTTGGTCAAATAACCACAATTTCATGTTCCTTTTTAAAAACATTTAACAGATTAAAAAAAAATTAAGACAATAATAAACCTGTGGTACCAAAGTACCAAAGGGTATATAGCCCCTGCCTCCAGATACTTCGTCCCAGAGAGTCATCGGTTCTAGTTATCCTTCAAGAGACATTCTTTATCCAAAACATATGCATAACACTCTTTTTTCTTTTGTCTAATTCTTTAAAAAAACAAAATAAAACAAGTGGTAACATACATCATGTAGTATTATATATGATACTTTTTCTTTCTTAAAGATAGAGACTATTTTGGAGAGACCACTCAATACATGAAGAGCTGCCTCATGCTTTTGGTGGCTGTATTTCATTCTTTCTCATGGATGCCCCCAATTTATTTGAACAGTTCCTTATGATGGAAATACAGGTTATTTCTAGTCTTCTGATATTAAAAATTACGCTTTGTGAATATGCTTGTAAAATAAAAGTAAATTAGTAAATAAATAAACACATACACAGTTTTACATTCATGCATGTGTAACACATAAAGGCCTTATGTTTATAGAACTGCAGTTGTTGGGTTAAAGGTATATGCATTTTAAAATGTGGTAGTTATTGCCAAATTGCTCTACATAAAAATAGTACTTACTTGTATACTTATATACCTCAACAGGTTCTGAAATTACTTTTCTTCATAGATCAAAACTTTGGGTTTTTGGAATCTGAAAGATGAAAAAAGGGTCTCCTGGTTTTAATTGGCCTTTTTATTATAAGTGAAGCAAGCAGTCCTCTCATGTTTATGTCCCTTTGGTAGTTTTGTATGAACTGATTATTCATGTCCCTTGCCATTTCTTTTATCGCTGGTGGTCTTTTCCTTATTTTATGTTAAATAATTAGTTCAGTCTGTGATAGGTCTTATTAATAATTTTTCCCACTTTTTATTATTACTGTATTGTTTTCATTTGGTCTGGTTTGGTCATGTTTAATTTTTTATTTTTATGTAGTCTAGGTTAGCAGTCTTTTAGGGCTCTGGGTTTTCTGGCATGTAAGAAGACCCTTCTGCTTCAAGATCATTTTAAAAAGTTCTCCTTTTTGAAATTCCCCTTTTTTTAAGATTTTTTTTTCTTTTTCTTTTTTCTTTTGTAGTGTTTAATTTTTTTATTCATCTGGAACTATTTTAGGCAGAAGGAATGTGGTAGACCGTTTTCCAGATGGCTACTCAGTGGTCACACTACATATTGAATTGTCTTTCTTTTGCCTACTGATACTTAATTTCACCACTCTTACAAAATTAGCAATTTGGGTGTGTTTTTAGACTCTACTCTGGGCCCATTAATCTGTTAATTCATTTATGTGCTAATACTGTATACTTTTTTTTTTTTTTTTAAATATGGAATACTTCACGAATTTGCGTGTCATCCTTGCGCAGGGGCCATGCTAATCATCTCTGTATTGTTCAATTTTAGTATATGCGCTGCCAAAGCTAGCACAATACTGTATACTTTTAATTACTTCTCCTTTATACATTTTGCTCTCTTATAAAGCTATTCCTTTATCATTGCTTTTTTTTTTTTCCCAGAATGTTGCTGGCTTCTAAAAGCATCAGTTCCTTCAATCTATAAAATGGGAATAGCATCTACTTCACAATATTTGCTATCATTCATATAAAGCATTTACTTTGTTTGCAATTGATTAAATACTCAAGTTATTGTTTAGTATTATTATTATGGTATGCAAAAAGATTAAAAGCTTTTACAGTACTTTTTTAATAGACCAAAGTTTAATAGACCATTAACTTTCGTATTTGATTCTGACCACTTTTCTTCAAAGGGCCTAACCATATGCCTATTCAGGGACCTGGACCCAATCAACTCAATATGACAAACAGTTCCATGAACATGCCTTCAAGTAGCCATGGATCCATGGGAGGTTACAACCATTCTGTGCCATCATCACAGAGCATGCCAGTACAGAATCAGATGACGATGAGTCAAGGGCAACCAATAGGAAGCTATGGCCCCAGACCAAATATGAATATGCAGCCAAACCAAGGTAAATAAGCTTGATGTCATTCTTTTTTTTAAAGGTTTTTTTTTCTTTTTTCATTAAAGATTTTATTTATTTGAGAGATTGAGAGTGAGCATGAGCAGAGGGAGGGGCAGAGGGACAAGCAGACTCCCCGTTGGGCAGAGAGCCCCACACACGGGGTTCCTAGTGGGGCTTCAGGCAGGGCTTGATCCCAGGACCCTGAGATCATGACTGCAGCTGAAGTTAGACACTTAAATGACTGAGCCACTCAGGTGCCCCTGATGTCATTCATTTTTTTAAAGAATATTTTATTTATTTGGGAGAGCATGATAAGGGGGGGGGGGAGGAGCAGTCAGACTTCCAACTCAGCAGGAGCCTGACTCTGCCTGATCTCAGGACCCTGAGATCCTGACCTGAGCCAAAGGCAGACATTTAATCAACTGAGCCACCCAGGTGCTCCAGCCCCTGATGTCATTTTTGACTGGAATGCTGTGTTAGCCTTTGAAAAGAAAATCTTTTTTTCCAAGTTGGTAGCTGATTCATGAAAATAGAAGTTTGAAGCGAGCCATAATCATATCCATAAAAAAGGAACATTGAGTTTGAAACCAGCTTAAAATAATTTTTTATTTTTACATTTAGAAGTTTGCTTAATTAAGCTCTTAAAGCTTATTTATCTTTATGTCTTTTGGACAGTTTAAGATTCTTAGGTGTTTATTTAAGAAAAATTGTTTTTAAGCTAATAAATGAATAACCAAACATTTGGTTTAGAGCAAGGAAGTTGAGAAAATAATAATTTCATCTTTGCAAGTTCAACCCCTTAAAAAATCTTTACTCTATGGTTTATTTTACTTATAAAGGATATATTAATTTTTATGAATTTCCCTTGATTTTTATGAATTTTCTGATGTTGTATTTCAGCATTAAGAGGTAATTTTAACATAATTTGTTTTTTAGAGTGTTCAGTGGAGATGCTGCTGTATTCTTCTGTTCTTAGAATGGGGTGAAGTCTATTAAAGTTTATTACCAATCTCAGAAAATGAAATTATTGTCATGTTTCTTCTTTAAGTATTCTTGTGAATAATAACTAAAAACCAGTAAGTGGCGCTCTGTTCTGCTAATTGTCCTTTAAAACAGTTGGCATATTGCCAGCCTAAAGCTATTTCAATTACAAAATGTGAGGTTAATGCAACAAAATTTTCTAGATTTCGATTTTGAAAAACAACTAAAGTGCACCCAGATAAAGGTAGTTAAGGTTAATCTGTTGATAATTATTTATGATAAAATTATATTTTCTAATGCTTAAAGAGTAATACAGAATTTTTTGTAATTTTGATGAAATGCACTGAAAACAAAGAGACAGTAGAAAATTGTCAATGTAGATTCACAAAACTGGTGCTTGCTCCATTTTTTTTCCTCAAAGTTGTTTAGTGCCCATGATAGATTTTTTTTTTTAATTAGGGCAATTAAAGTTTCAAAATAACAGCAAGATCCAGTCAGTGCCAGGTCAGAAGGGAGTCCAGATATTTCTCTATAGAGTTTAGTTAAAAGGAGGGATAGCAAGAAAATTGGTAATAATTCTCACAGCAACTACAGTAATGAGGGCACATTACTTAGAAACTATCATGGACAGTAGGATGTGCACAGGAAGGCATCTTGCTGTAGAGTGGGTCCATATGACATCATAAGATTTGAAGAACCAAAAATTATGCATGTGGCAGTGTGTATGTAGAAAATAGTAATTTTTTGGAGAAAGGAACTGAGGTTGTTTATAGGAATATTTTGTTCTAAACTTACTGTTTTTAAAAATATCACATTTTTTATTTGTATTACTAATGTACAATTTTTCCTTTTACTATAATATAGCACTTCCTGCTTTGTTTACATAATCTGAATTTCTTAATAGTCATTTTCTATATAAACTATTTTCTGTGTAGGAATCTGATTTAAAGAAATAAAAGTTACTTTTCAAGAAAGAATACGATGGAAATCAGTGGGGAACTTTTCAGTATTTAAAAAATCTCTTCAGGACAAATAAACTTTGCATTTAAATTTTGGTATTTCATATATAAAGAACACCAAAGAAAATTAGTTGCCAAAAAAAGAAAAGTTTTATGAGGTTGTAGCAGTACTTACTGTTTTAATCCTATGAGTTCCTTGTAAAGATATGTTAATTATATGATATCTATTGGATGAAAAAAAATTTTTTTTAATACAAGTTTTATTTAAAGTTTTAAAAGTCACTTCATGTAAAACATTCTCTTGGGGGCACCTAATAGCCCAGTTTGTTGAGCTTTTTAAAAAGCCTCTGACTCTTGGTTTCAGCTCAGGTCTGATATCAGGGTTGTAAGATTGAGGCATTCCCCCCTCTTCCCCTCCTGGACTCTGCCCTCAGCACAGAGTCTGCTCGCATTTCTCTCTGCTTCAAACCTTTATGCGTGCTTCTCGCTCTCAAATAAATAAAATAAATCTTAGAAAAATATTTTCTTAGATAGCTTTAAAAATAAGCTCATGTTTTACATTAAAAGTTTTCTGTTCTTAGGCTCTGTGCTGAGCAGGGAGTTTCCTTATTAAGATCCTCTCTCTCTCTCTCTGCCCCTCTCCCCCAAAATAAAATAAATAAACAGAATCTTCTGTTTTGATAGATAGGTGGAAGTAAACCAGAGGAGACCACGCTTTAAATAGTCCTCCTTGAGAAATGCTTAGGAAACACTCAAATTCTATGAACAGAAACATTTTGACTTTCGAAAGTTTTTCTTAATGTTTGTTGAGATATTATTAGCTGTTCTTTGAGTTAAAATCAAAGTATTGAAATATTTTGGTTATATTTCTAAGTACATATCTCTATATCAAGAGATACTAGAAAAATTGTTAAAGCTACTTACGATTTTTTAATAAAGGAAAAGAAACATTTGTGGGATTTCTTACACTAAACTTCTGTCAAGTGACAGGAAAAATAGAAAAAGAGTAATCCAGAGAATTTTAATTTTGTTTTAAAAAGGAATGATTAAAAGGCAATTATTTAATTATTATATTAATAGTTACTAACTATTTAAGTAACATATTTGGGAGCTTTAACTGATGATGTGGTAGTAGTTTTTTAAACAAAACACTGCGTTTAGTCTACAATATGAAAGAAAGTTTTTTTTTTTTTAAGATTTTATTTATTTATTTGTTAAAGAGGGAGAGAGAGAGAGCGCGAGTGCACACAGGCAGAGTGGCAGGCAGAGGCAGAGGGAGAAGCAGGCTCCCTGCCAAGCAAGGAGCCTGATGTGGGGCTCAGTCCCAGGACGCTGGGATCATGACCTGAGCCGAAGGCAGCCGCTTAACCAACTGAGCCACCCACGTGTCCCTGAAAGAAAGTTTTAAAGTGGCTTTCTTTTTACCCTCTCCCTGTTCCTTTTTTCTCTCTCAGCTTTGCAAATGAAATTAAGGGGGAAAAAGTAATTTGTCATTGTAATTAAAAATGGAAAATTGTAAGTTTGTAAATTTAATTTTATAAAATTGATTGAAAAATCTTGTCATTGTAATTTAGGAGTCTGATTGAAATTAATCCAAGGGATAGATATACATTTATAATTTATCATTTTGATTGTTTCAGAGAGCAAAAAGAAATAGTCTGTTAATTTATACTGTTAGCTCTAGTATAATAAGGCACATTGTATACTAGTATTAAAATACAAGTATGGGGGCGCCTGGGTGGCTCAGTGGGTTAAAGCCTCTGCCTTCGGCTCAGGTCATGATCCCTGGGTCCTGGGACTGAGCCCCGCATCAGGCTCTCTGCTCAGCAGGGAGCCTACTTCCCTTCCTCTCTCTCTGTCTGCCTCTCTGCCTGCCTGTGATCTCTGTCTGTCAAATAAATAAATATATTAAAATATTAAAAAAAATACAAATATCATTTCTAGGAATGAAATTGTGTACTCTTTTGAGCTTTAGTAGTTCTTTAAAAGTTGTTTTTAGCTTTTGAGTTTTACTGAAAAATTAAACCAAATCGGTGCAAAGACTATTATAACAAAAACTTGCAGACCTACCACACAAAATATATCTTTTCAAAAAGCTGCACAAAAAGTTGACCCCCTTAAATTTGTTAATTATATATTACTGTGTTCATGATCATTTAAAAAAAATTTCAACAGTTACTTTTTTTGAGCTTAAAAAATGCATATATGACAATGGTATTGTAATTGGTGCCCACTTCTAGTTGATTTGTTGGTTTATATGTATCTATGACTTGAGAAGATAGAAATATTTTTTAATTTAGCAACTAGATTTATTATTGTAGAATAGTATTTTTCTCTGTGTTCTTTTAGAGGGTGTATTGCTTCCAGATAAAATGAAAGGTTTAGGAAGTTTTTTTGTTTTGTTTTGTTTTGTTTTTAAAGATTTTATTTATTTATTTGACAGAGATCGCACGTAGGCAGAGAGGGAGGCGTGGGGTAGGGGGAGCAGGCTCCCCACTGAACAG